CGACGAAAGTCGATAATTATTGTAATGCGATAATATCGCGCGACGTAATACACTCTAAGACGACGGAATATGCGGCTGGAAGAACTTGCGTGCCACATTGCGAGAGGCCACGTCAGAGGGAATATTTTATTAATTTGTTATCTTTAAACGGCGCTATATATTGCAAGGGTATATAGCCTTCTATGTAACGTGTGAAACAACATTGTGAGATCGTGGTGCGCCACACTGTAAAGTTGCATCAAAGGAAAGATCTCACACACATACACGCACACACATAAAGAGAGAAAGAGAGAGAGAGAGAGAGAGAGAGAGAGAGACGTCAAGAGATTAGATTATTATTATTATTATTATTAATTAAATAACGTTTCACTGCAGAAACTATAGAATTTCTCACAACTCGCGAAATCTTGCGGATTGCAAACTCATATGCAACATTGTGGCATCGTGTCCTACTTAGAGTTCCCAAAATAAAGATCCGCATTGTCTATTTACAACTAACGTAATATAGTACCGTCATGAAGAATTAAATAAGAGAATCGAATAACGAATATTAATGTCTCCTGTCAATTAATAAGACGAAATATTGACGTATTAAAGGTCATTGCTTGGAAAAACATTTGCATGTGCGTGTGTGTGTGTGTGCGTGCGTACGTGTGTGCATATAGCATGCAATTATCGTGGTTGAAAATAAGACCCGCTTGTTTACTTATGTCTATCCTTATATCTTCGCAAAACAAGAAATGTGAAACTAAGCCTTATATTAATTAATATTGATGTGCGGGTCGTATTATAGCGTGCACAACGCGAGCATAAAGTATCTCCCTTGTGTATACACACGAGAGAAAGAGAGAGACGAAGAGAAACGTACTGCAAAGTCATGTTCCAGGCAGATACGGGTAAATAAAGACCCGTTTTGTCTACTTATGTCTATCACGAGACTTGGGCTCTCCTATCTATTACGGATGTTAAACCGCAAGCAGCCGACCTATCATTCACATTGTATTTGCATGAACGATAAAGACACGGTCCGGAAACTCCGGATTGCGCTTATCGCCGCGAGTGGATAGACGATAGACGCGGTCGGGGAATGCTCAACCCGGTTAACCCGTTGGGAGGAAGTCACGACGCCGCATAACGAGGTTGAAAAAAATTATGTGGTTGCGACAGGTGTTAAGCTCATTCCTAGACGAAGCCGTGCAAAAGTTTAGAATCTTACCGTGTAATAACGTGACACGTCGCGTCGCGACGTTCTGAGTTTCCGCGTGAACCGAATTTTTTTTACAAACAAATAGATGCAACAAGAAACGTAATTTTAATAAAATTCACAATTTCAAATCCGTATATATATATATATATATGTTCTATGTTCTATTTTTCAGAGACTATAATCTTCAATATTTTTCAAAGTTACGGAAAAAAAAAAAACATTTTTTTAATATACTTACTATAATATATATCGAAATGTTTTTTTTTTTGTAAGTACACGTATAAATTCCTTTATGATGATTGCGTAATAGAAACGTAGCGAGATCGAAACGACGTTTTCGTAAGTGCGCGTACATGCGCGCTCGTGATTTGCGCCGTATCGCGCAACAAACGTTATACGACATGCGCCACTGTTGGGTGCACATGCACCCGAATGCAGAGGTTAACCCGGTGCAAGTAGGTGCAACGTGCGAGATACATAACTCGCTCGCTGCATCTCGCTCTGGCCGCCGCTCGCTCACGATTGCATGCGCCCGGCCAGCGATACATACCTGCCCGCCCGGCGCCGGTGTGCACATACTTAAAAAGCGGTGTATATACCGCGTGATATATACATTATCTACATGGTGGTGCTGCGTTGACTGTGGTCAGGAATTGGCGCGACCCATTTATTTGAGCGAGCGCAAACGACGACGCGCATACGTGAAAAACTGCGCATGCAAAATCCATCCTTGGACACGACAAAGTCAACCGCGTGCCGAGAGTTATGTGCGTGTTACGCGTACTCGCATGTATTTCCAATATTTTTTTTTCTCCGCGCGCATATGTTTCTACAAAATCGTCGATAATCATTTCAACGCAATGCCCCGAGTTTAAAATTATAATATAGTTGAATACCCCTTCCCCCCCCCCCCGATAATATCATCCAGACACAAACGTGTTGGTAAATATCTATGGTTTTCTCGCACGCGTATACATGTACATATTACATGATTTTTCTTGTTTTACAAAACACGTTTGCACTATTTAGAAACCGTAAATGAAATATTACGATACATGAAGCGTTTGCGCATTGCGGAGTGCTTTCACCTGCGATGCGTATTTTGTTTTTTTTTTTTAATGCGCTAGAAAAATTGCGTTTTAGCGGAATAATAAAACAAAAATGTGTTAACAAATTAATAAAAAAATATATATATACACACACACACACGTATACACACCGTATACGCACCGACCGAGCGTACGCATCGGAATAATTTGCTTTATCAATATGGCTCAAGGCGAATTTATCGCGATCAGCAATGCAAGAAGTTTACATGCAGATTACACAACGACGGACTGTTTGTAACAGGAGAAGAGAAAGAGGAGATGATATCATATATTGTGATTAGCGGATAAGCACGTATGTATCTCGTACGCGATTTCGTTGTGCGTTACCGTTCAACTTTGGCGTCGAAGTTTACACACACGTAAACCAAAACGCGCGAAAGGAAGTTCGGGAAATAGTTTCTCTCTCATCCTCGACGCGATCGTCACAAGCGGCAAGGGCGGATTTATCGTCGTGCAAAACTTTACATAATAACGTTATTGAATAACGTAGCGTAAGCACAATGCGTTCAATGAATAATGAATTACATAAGTTCGACGTGTATGAAAGGTATTTGTGTTTTATACCTCCATTTTCATTCTGCGTGTTTGATATCACGATTCTCGAAATGTACGAGAACGAAACAAAATCAATGAAAATGTGAATGAGAAAACAACATTATTACTTTATTCAGAGGTATGCCGCGTACACAGATAATTTATTTACGCGTGATACCATCAATTGTAATAATTCGTTCAATGAGACACTCTGATAGTTTTTTTTTTTTTACTCTCTATGGCGTACGCTTATGCTTTCTTACACCATATATTCTTTTTACATTTTTTATGTACAATAATGATGATGATGATGATAATGATGATAATATGAAGATGAACGCACGTTTCTACGGTAATCGCTACGTTATTTTATATACGTTGTCTGGACAAAGATCGTTAACAAAAATTCACAAGAATTTCAACGATCAAGAGCAGGTAATTCATCAAGAACGCATTCGTGTGCGATACTCCAAATTTACACGCAAGAAGAGAGAGAGAGAGAGAACGTTACTTTTCCTGTTTTAAATAAAAACAAGAAAACGAATTTGAAATTTATTTACAGTTTCCAAATTGCTCGGTATTTGCGCGTACAATTGTGACATTCTTCAGGAATTTGGAACCTCAAGGATGCAAACAACAATCCGAGATACGACGGTACAAGCGGCAGTGCAACACAAGGATGATGAACGTATGTAAACAACAAGTCGTGCCGAAGCGCGGCATGCTTGGGGCTATTTATAGAAAACGATTATTGTGCAACAAACGCGGCTTTACGTAACGCGTGCGACGGCATTATATATGCCCCGGCTCTGTCGGTCACTCGGCTGTACACAAAAGAAACACACTTTCCTCGCGCCTTCCTGCCTCTTTGTTCTACGATCGTTGTACTCGACGTGAGACAAAAAACCGCACGCCGATATATACACAAACGAAGACGACGCAAAAAATGACTCGACATACTTCGTTGAGCCGACGCGCGGCGTTGGCTTCATTAGAAACCTGCGCTTTAATAACAGATTATATTTTATTACAATAAAACGCGATTTTACGTAAGCTATGTTTTCCTCTCGAGACTGGCCTCTCTATATCCGTGAGATAAAATATTTGTGCAAATCCGATCTAACATTACACACACACACACACAGCCGTGAGACGCGTACCGCGACGTATAAAAACTCTACCGCAATCCTCTTTTCCACCCCTTCCTCCCCCCCTAAAAAAAACTCGTCGAGTTAGTTTCTCTCGGAAGAAGTTTCCTTTTCTCTTCCGAAACAGAGGCAAACGTAATCCCGACAGATTTCGAAAAACGTTCCTCCTCCGCGCGAGCATTGCATTACAAAATGTTACGTAAGAGTGTGAAATGCGGGTGTGTGTGCAACGCAGAGAGCGCGGTGGAAGAGAAATGTCACACACGCTGCGGCAGGCGAGGCATCTCATCGCTGCGTGCGTGAGTGCGTGCGTGCGTGCGTACGTGCGTGCGTGCGTGCGTGCGAGCGAATGCGCGCGCCATGCTTGTTGGGCGTGAACGCACGGAGAGGAACGCGGAGATTTGCGAGTGTTTCTACGGCGCGACGCGGCGCTACGCGTCCCTGCATTTCCAGCGGAAAGCGGAGCCGGGGCGACGACGCGGCGTCGTGATCCACGCACACACATCGGCCACCAGCCAGCGAAGCAGCCAGCAGGATATCGGGCGCCGGCCGGCCGGCCGGCCGGCATCTCAACAGCTGTGCGCCCGCTCTCTCTTGTGCGCTACGCTCAGAGACGACGCCGTTGGTCGCCACGGCGGCAGATACAACGCTCTCCCGCGAGAGACAGGTTCAGAGACGACGAGATAAGCAGAGCCGGACGCGACACTTTCAAAAGAGGCGACTAAAGATTATCCCGCCCGCACGTTCCCACCCGTCGCTTTCTTTCGGCCGCACTACCGCGATCGTGTTATGAGAAACGCGTGTAATCGCGTCGTGTCAAATGCCGACGTGTGTGTGTACGTACGTATATGTACACGTATACGCGCGCCATGTAAATACACACTGACAGATTGGCGGTAGTCGCACACTGTGTGTATCGTCACTACCACCGCCGCACGTATTATCTTTTTTTTTTTTTTTAGTTTGCGCGAGAAACAATTCGAGATAGCGTGGAAGACTCACCCGCACAGTTCGGCCTCCGGCTGCACAGCCGTCTCGACGATTTCCTCGATCAAAATCCGATCGTCACCACCAAACACTGACATATCTTGTCGGTCGGCAGCACCGCGAATCCCGCCAAGCGAATTTCACGTCCTTGACAGCCGTCGTCGCGGCTGCGAGAAGACCACGGGATCCGTTGCTCTCTCTCTCTCTTTCGTTCTCTCCTTTTCGATGTCTTCCTTCGCTCGTTGCTCTCACTCTTTCTCGCGGCACTTCTTTCTCGCCCGGTTGTTCGCTCGCCCGACACCGCGCACTTCACCGGGACGCGGGAGGGAGGAGAAACAACGCGCGTTTTATACCAAACACGTATATATACTTATATATATATATATATATCCGGATTGTGACACGACGTAATAAAATTGCATACGCGCCACCGCACACGGGCTCCCACGGCTTCGTCTCGCGACAAACCCCTTTTTTCTTTCTCAGCAAATACCGGCGGCACACACGGAGACTCGTCCACGAGACAGCCACACGCTCCGCGCGGCGCGCACACACAACGCCCGAACGCGTTTTGTAATGGCGATCTTTGGCGGGAAACAGCTGAGGGCCCCCACGACGCGCCGTGGATCACTCCGCCGCCCGGCGTCAGGAACGTCACTATGTCCTCCGAGACCAGACCCTTTCCCGTCTCTTCTCGTTCACCTTTCTGTCACTCCGTAAAAGCGGCTCGGCTGCGAAACGCTTCGTGTTTCCTCGACAAATGTCACACAACGCGCGAAGTCGCGTACTTATCGATAACACTCGGGAGTGAAGTCACACACGCGTAACATTCACCGCATTTCACGTAGTGCAGATTCACATAACACCCAGTTCACGGTGATACATAAAAAGTCTCGTTTTCGCACTGTTAATAACGAAGAAAAATGTCTCGCACCTGCGTGTTTCTCACGAGAATCTCCAAAATTCCAAACCGTTACTACGACACGAAAAGCAGCGACGACCCATTCTATCGTCTCGTTTCTCGTATGCCGGTAGAATCATCGCGCGCGCGTGTAAATAATAAATAAAAACTCACGCGCGTTTGCCGCACGATAATCGCCGCGCGCGGCGGCAAGTCCAAAGCCGAAGTCACAAATCACGTTTACGCGGCTTTATTACACGTGCGTAAAGCGTACGCGTCGCGTGTCAACAGCGCGCGACAAAATATCGGCGCACGGAAGCGCGCGTGATAACGTTCGCGGAGAAATTCACTTCGCGGAGACACTTGAAAGTCGCGTCCTCGTCGCGCGGGCGCGTTCGTGCAGAATCGAGGCGGCTTGTGCGCTCGAACGGGGGGAGGGGAGAAGTCGCGCACTTTGCTCTGCCCTGAGCGGCGACTCTCTTTACGGACCAATCCCCCGTCAGCTCATCTTCGTATTGCTCTCGCGATTTCGGTGCTTTCTGCACGCGACGTACACCGCTGATCGTACGGCGACTCGCGTATATCCGCGCGCGAACACACCTGTGCCCGGCTGTCGCCTATTACGGGAAATATCCGGCGCTAGAACGAGGAACTACTTGCAGGTCGCGTAGGTTTACGCTAGAGGAATGACGCGGCCGCGCGGGAAACATCTGCCAGCTGGCCAAAGCCCCGCCCATAGAATACGCGAGTCTACTCGCGCGTCCCCACTCCTCGTTCCCCACCGCTACGGAGCCCGAACGTAAACGTATATACACGAAACTAGCCGACCATCTGTACGGACTACTACGCTCGGCGGGCTCTCGTATATACACGAAGAGCGGGGTTCCCACCACGCTGCGACGCGCACCGGCCGCCGTTCGTTCAACGCGTCACGCCATGTTTACGACGCGCCAGACGCGATGCGAAAGTGTACGACCGAAACTCGACCACTGCGCGTCGTGCACAAATCTGTGCCGTGCGTTTCTCAACATGTCGACCACCGCTACCCGCTCTCCATGCGGATTCGCGGAAAGTCGAATATTGCTTTGACCTCTTCGCGTCCTTGCGGTCGCGAGTCTCTACAGGCTACGCTTTCTATTCAAGGGGGGTCTCTTTTCGAAAACACGTTGCTCTTTGAATGCATGCACGTACAATAAATCATTGAATAGGGGACTTCTTTGGCGATGGCACAAGTGATAATCGATACGATCGGCACGAATCACACAAGACGACATCCTGCGGACAATCTTTTAATTAATGATACTTCGCTGATAACGAAGTTCGCAGCTTTTATCATTTAGACGGGATATAAATCTACGTTACCGGTGCAAGGTACGTATAAAAATAAACGCCAATCGATACACGCCAATTGCAATTTCGATAAAACAAAGATACGTTACTCGCGTATACGATTTTGCTCAAAAATGAAAAGTTGGCTCATATATTTTGTTTTAATTAATTACTAACTACAGTTTGTGCGCGCACGCGATTATTCAATTTAGCTTCTTACTGAAATATTTATAGCAATGTGTAATAGTTCTCTCACTCTCTTTGGTTTTACATACATAATTATTGAAAGAAATACATCGTATATCGCTAATATCTCTAAGTTATAAATAATATACGTTTTTCACGATATTCTACATTTTGTCAAAATGGAGATCAATGGAAATCAGTGGAAATCACAAGCGATGAATACATTTATCGCACGAAATTTGTCAAATTTACAGAAAAGCCTTTTATTTCGTAATATATGACTAAAATTAAATATAAAATATATGAGCTTATTTTAAAATTTATGTTTTATAAAAAAAAGAGAACTCTTATATAGTAAAGCAGATAATAAAAGTTCCCCGTATACTATGTAAGTATAAAAAATTCTTGATAAAATATCCCTATTTGTTTTTCTTAATGCCCTATATTCCACATTTGTTTTGCACAAACACCCTTGAAAAAACCATGGAATGTACTCATAATTATTTGTAACAGTCTAATACCGAGAAATGTATACGTATAAAAAATTATATAGATTAAAAAACATTTGTTTTACACACGTGAGTAAGTCACAATACCGCACACAGAAAGACAAGAGACGTAGGCTAATACGTTTCTAACATACTTTTTCGTTTTGCATATAGTATTGATATAATGACGAAAATAAGAAAAACTGAATTATATTAACCGTATGTTTTTCCTTAATATATAAATTTTCCCTTTACATCGTAATCTCTTCAATTTTCACGACATGCAGAATTAACCAGAATTGACTGCACATTTTTGTAATAAACGTGTCATTACATTAGAATTATTAATATAATTTAAACGTAATATTTAGTACGAGCCTTAAAAACATAGTCGATATTGCTTTTTTTGTACTTACGATTGCGTGAATCTTACATTCAAATAAACATAAAAATTTATACGCCATTTATATTCAAAATCTTGGAAAAGGAGAATCGAATATCAAATAATTTCGCAAAATCATTATTTCGTTTTTTTTTTTTTTTTTTTTTTTGCATGAATAACGTGTTATTATAGAATTCTGTGATAACTTGTGCATTAGAACAATACAGTAATTGATTGGCCATTCGCACACATGGAATACTCTTAATTATTAAATAATTCGTTTTTGTTTTTCAAAACATTCGATGAAAAAAAAAAAATAATAAATTTCTACAGAGATTCCCAAATTGACAAGAATAAATAAATCGATGAATATAACCATCTTATGCTACAGTATTAAAATAGTATTTTAAGAATCCAAGCGATATCCTTTAACTTTATCTGACTGCTTTGATTCATCATAGAAGTGATTAAGCGATGGATACAATATCTATTTATCTTATACATCAGCATGCATCAGCCAATTAATTAATTAAAAAAAGGATAAGCCGTGTATACTTCTTCTCATACGAATGTGTAGCGCCGTGCATTATTGATCTACATAGATCTAGTTGAGTGGCTAAGACTAACACCATATGTACGATACATATAGAAGAGATTTTTTTTGCATACGCTCTGTTTCTTTTTTTCTTCAGTTCTGTACATTATATTAATGTCTATGTAATGGACTGTGTATTGTATATACAGGAGTGTGTGAATTTAATAGAATAATTATATTTTGTAAATATACACACATACACACACACGCATTGGATTATTGCTCAACAGGTTTAACATAACTTTTGGTATTGAACTGATAAAGAAAAACTGTTCTTTGTACTTTGTGGTTTTCAATATACATATTTGTATTAATTTAGCCAATCAATCAAAGTTTAACGTGAATTGCGAGGCATTCTCACTTCGTATTATTTATTTAGTTATTATATTGGAAAAACAAAACAACTTTATGTTTACCAATTTAAATATGGCTGATGCATCCTTATGATGTATATTCTTAATTAGTGCAATATAGTAGCATGGATTTACAAATAATGCAGTAATTGGAAGAGAAAAACTTTCTGCAAAATGTATTATTGAAATATTTCACATATTTACGAGTATGTATACTTAAATAATATACATACATTTAAGATTTCCTTATACACATATATTCAGATATAAATATAATTTTTTACATATATATAGATATAATGTGTATGACATTATATGAAAAAAAAAAGTTAATCTATTCCTTTTTTCTACAAAACATTATATAAATAATATAATATAATATAATAATATATTAATATATGTATGTCATTTATATATTAGTATATTATTATATTGATGTTGTACAACGTGCAACAGGTCAGATGGTACTACCAGGAAAGAGAAAATGATTCTTTGTGCAAAATTAAGTCAAAATTGTAAAATAAAATTCTTTTGTTCAAGATTGTTTTGTAGAAAATCGAATTTAGAAATTGACACATCTACGTTTTATTATGTATTTAATTGACCTCTAATAACCATGTGCCATTATTGTTATTACACGTAATAAAAAAGTAAATATGATTTCAATTTTTAAACTCAAACATCTCTAACCTTAAATTTAACCGTAAATGAATTTTACATTTTTGATTAATTTTTGCACAACGAATCATTCTTGTTGTTCCGGTTGTGTCACTTGTCCTGCCACACTTTGTATACAATCATGATATATTAAAAATTAGATGCTATTATATACCACACTCGATTTAAAACTATAAATAATATACGTATAAACATATTGTTTTAATACACTGATCTTATAACAAATAATATATGCGAAAGTATTTTTTTTCACTTGCCTTACCTGTAAATCCATGTCTAATTTGTATAACGATGGAACTCGTATAGCGCTATGTACTAATGATGTTATAATAATTTTTTATATCCTAATTTCAATCTTTCCTGAGCTGGATTCACTTTGATTTTTAATTGCTGAATTAAATCAAATATCTTTAAAGACGGCCCAACTTTGAACCCTGTCAGGTCTATTATTTGGTCCTTAGTGAGTGTCAGTAATGTCTTTCCATCTATTTTACGTTTACTGAAATTATCGCAGTATGTCGCACAATCATTAACCCGAAGAAACTGAGCAACATCAAAAACGTTCCACTCAGACGGCACTAAATCACCAGACTCCGAATGTTTTTGTGCACCATCTATAAGCCTCGGTATATATTTACTACTTCCTGAAGTAACCTAAAAATAGATGAATATATTGAATTAATTTAATTTCGTTTCTTTGTTTCTCAATTTTTTTTTTTACAAATTCACACAAAACTATACAATATTATTTACATTGATGTACGATGTAGCAGTTCTTTCTTTAGGCGGTGGAGGATTAATTTCACTTTGCGTGTCGCTCAACGCTTGACCTTGTCCACTAGTAGGACTAGGCAAAGTTTGGTCGGGTCCAGCTGGCTCTTCAGCCGGTTCCGGTTCTCTGCTTCTCTGTTCCGGTAGGCTCTCCAAGTCGCGTTCTCTCTCTATTTTTGTGCCCTGAGCAGGCTCCACTTCTCGCCCGCGTTCGCGATTCACACGCTCGCTATGGCGAACGAATATACGTTCGCTATGACGAGGAGGTAGTATATTTTTGAAACAAAGCATCTTGTTGCCTTTCTTCATTTTTCTCTTACCCTTACGTTTAAGGCCTCTTGGTGATTTTACTATACGAAAACATACTTGTAAATATTATATACAAAAAACTATGTGCACGAATGCGCGTGATTAATACTTACCAGTAGGACTAGTGTTTTTAGGTACACGCGGCCCTTCTAATCTGTGATCGACAAGATCACACCATCCTACTGGATAAATATCCGGACTTTGACAATCTAACCACTGATCATACTCGTCTTCCCAACCATCAAAGTGTACTCGTAATAATCTGCCAATCACTCTAGTAATAGTAGCGACACATACCAATCTAGGATCCATCAAATCCGCGGCTTCGAGTCTCATTCCCTCAATAAATCCATGTTGGGGAATGTCCTGTAAATACAAAAAATTTATTCGTTCGATTTCGAGCTGTGAATACAATATACAGATTGCGTGTAAACAAACAAAATTACCCGATTAAATAAATTAGCAGAAGCGGGTACTGTATTTGTCTCCGCTAGATATGTATCCCATGTGAATGTGGTAGGATCGTAACCTTTTGGCGGTATCAGCGGTAAACCGTGTTGAGAACAAAACCCGATTGGAAAAATACAAGGCGAGTATGAATGATAGCAGAACCAATCGGCGCCAGTCGCGTCCGCGTCGTAACTGTCGATACGAATCATAATGTAATTTTCCTTCAGGACTTGCATGATCGTTGCCGCGCATATGGCTGAGAGATTGAGCGGATCGATAGCTTCAATTTTCATTCCCTCCGTAAATCCACCGGGTGTGTTGTGATAATTCTTTGGCACGTGAAAAAGATCTTCTGTCGCGTCATCTTCGGATAATTTTGATTTGGAAATTCGAGCTAGATATTCAGGATAGGCATCTAGCGTCTGTCCCACTCGTTTGGCCCAACCGACGGGATGTATGAGTGGGGAATCTTCATGGCACCAAAACCCGTTATCTTCCGGAGGTGAATCGTAATATCTAACGTACAAACGTTTGCCGACGATCCTCTGTATCGTTGCAACTTTCACTTGCGAGATTCTATTTTTGTCCACCACCTCCAGATGAAGTCCACATCGAAAGCGAGACTTCATACTGTCGGTTACTTTATTGTAGAAGTTCGTAGGCAATGTTCTTGCGCCGGTTAATCGCCTCATCAAAAAATCCTTCCAATCTTTGTACTTATTCGCAATTGCTGCAAAGATAAATTTGACACGTCAAATTCATCTGCGCTCATATGCGCTTTTGCGAAGTTATCGATTGTTTTGTTTACTGTAATTCTTTTCATACGTCGTTAATTTTGTTAGAAATATTTTCGATTACGTACTGTTAGGTGGAATAAGAGGTTTTCCAATTGAGGCACACCAACCAACAGGATGTATGTCGTTAGAACAAAGCGATACCCAAAAATCTTTGTCTGCATTGTGTCCGAAACCCTCGTACCTTAACAGAGCTCTATATCCACATATACGTAACACAGTTGCGACCCAAAACGAATCTGGGAAAGCCACACATACTTCATCACAATCGGTATTTTCTACTTCTACTTTCATACCCACTGTAATGTTATCCCATATTTCCGATATAGGTGCCTAAAAGCAAAATCCATTAAATCGACGATGTTAAAAGATACAATCGTATATTGCATGAGAAACATAGAATTTTGCCGCAATCTTAATCTTTAGAGACAGCTAATATATTGACTCCGCACAATAACTTAAGACATACGTTATATATGTTTACAAGTTTTGAATATCAAACATATCATATTTTAAAAATATCGATCCTCTAAGGAGATTAAAAAAATATATTAAATATTTAATTGTACAAAAATTTTGTGTTCATACAGTTTTATTACATTGTCACTATAACACATTTCATAGTCTCTTTACATGATTATCTCAAGATGATCCTTGATAACCTTTCAAGATTATAAGTCTTTATTACTCAGTCTACGTGTTTCATAGACATATAAAGTATAGACTGGAAATTGCGAGGTATTCACTTCGCGACGCGTCGTAGACTACTTCGTGTGAATTCGTGATCGGCGGAAATATCCGAACGCTTCTCGCTGAAGTTTTACGGAATATATTTGAAAATAAAATTAAAGCTTAAAGCCTATATACTTACATGTTTGAAACAAGAGACTGGCGCAGCACAAAATCCAGGTTCAAGAAGCTGTGGTGTCCAATCATATGAACTAGCCAGTTCTGCAGTTTTCTTTCTTCTAACTGGTAAGTCCTCGGGCATTACAGGCTCCAAGTTAACTTTGTGATTTTCCTCCGAAGAAGACTCAGTGACTTCTGCTTTTTTCTTTTTTAATTCTCCAACAGTCTAAAAATTGAAAAGAATTTTACAGTTTCTTTTTACACATTTTTTCTGTCTCTAATATGTCCAAATTAACTTACATTTGTTGGTTTTTTTGTTTCATTAGGTGATGCTTGTATAGGTTGATCTATCGAATAAGATGGGCTGTGTGTCGAATCGGCAGTAAGCGAGTTATATTCTGAAGAACGAGCACAAGCTCTACTGCAAAATCTACGTTCCTTTGTGTAAAAAGCATGCTTCACACCAATAGCACCACACTTTTCACAAACAGCTGTGGAAACACACATGTAAATTTGATATAACGTCTTGTGAGAAGTGACTATTAGATATATTATAGTTTAATACCAATATTGAATTTACCTATGCCATCTTTACGAATAGGAATGAAGTTCAAATCGGTGCAAGGTTGATAAGCAATTGGTGTCTTTAGAACAAGTCCAGGATGTTTTATGGGTTTTATCTTTCGATAGTGATTATTATAATGCTTGTCTTGAGTAGTTTGAGTCGCAGCATTAGTCATTATTTGTTCTTCTTCCTCTTCTTCTTCTTCTTCACCTATGTAATCTTCCAATGTTAAATATTCACTTATTTCTTGTTTTTCTGTCTCTGAATCATATCCCTTTAAAAAGAAAAAAACTCCACAATTTACAGAGTTGTAATTATATGTAAATAATTAAAATTTCCATTTTATTTTATAAATCTCCATATAAATTAAAAGTATAAAAAATATAAAGTATAAAAAATCTCCATATATAAATTAAAGAGGTATAAAAAATATTAAGTATAAAAAATCTCCATATAAATTAAAGGTATAAAAAATCTTCATATAAATTAAAGGTATAAAAAATCAACTTAAATCAAATTCTCTTGAACAGAAACAAAATACTCACTCCCTGTAAGTCTTGAGTATCAGTAGCTTCCTCTGCCTCACCAGGCTCTGAACATTCTGTTGAAAATTGCTGTGGTATATAGCGCACCATAGTGGTTCCAATATGATGATTTCTAATCTCTTCATAAGGATTTGAACCATGTGAGAAAAAGGGATTCTCAGTTGTTTGTCGAGGATCCAGCATAAGCTCATGAGTAGGTTCTGCGTGCATCATCACATCCCCCATCCACACCATTCCTAGTTGTTCAGGCAACCCAGGGATGGAAGTATACACTGTATTCACACACATACCCATTCCTACATTCACATCATTCACCAGTTGTTACTCTTAGCGAATTATTAGTGCACAAATATTTCTTTGCAAATTCTGTTTATTAAAAAGAAAACACAATGAAATATTTGAAAGCAAGCGAACTTTTCGTGTAATATTTCATGCTGAGATAAGCAAAACATTATCATTTAGAGATTAATATATGATTTATGCATTTGATTTAAAACCCAAGAAAGAAAGGAAGAAAAGATTCTAAATTATCCACCTTTGTGTGTGTATCTACGTTGCGCGCGCGCGCGATGCATAGCTATCAAATTACTGTCGAGACCACAAACTTGGTAATGTTCATGTTTTTGCCGCTCTTTTTTTCTATAAATCACCCGGGTGTTCAGATCGGAATGTGACACTAGGGACGATACACTTTTATTTAACCTCTTCTGATATCGCCGCGTATCTACGCGATTGTCGTGCGCGCACGGACGAAGTTTCACTCGCGAGCTGTCGCCGAGGGAAGCGACCGGCCAACATATGAGACAGCGTTAAGCCGCATACGAAAACAAGTTACGTACCATTAGAAGCTTGCATGTCCATGACAAAGAGTCGGGTCCGATGATACCTTCGACGTTTTCAACCGGTATTACCGTAATCTGCTCACGGTACGAAGCGCTTGTTCCATCTCGCTAAGCGGACAACGCATCGCCACTGCTTCGTTTTCGCTTCACCGCAACATCAGATGAAATCTATCATTTCCCTGAAAAGTCACATCCCTCGAATAATTAGGCAAAACATTCGGCGGTAGACTGGTCGCGCTCGCCCCACTATTTTCGTCTTCCTATCAAGGCTGGCAACTGATAAAGCTGGAGCTAGAGGCGACTCGTAATGGCGGATTCGGTTGCTCGCTTACGCGCACACACGCAAGTTTGCCTCAAATGAATTAGCGGATGCGTTCAGAAAACACATCCGCCGCGCAACAGTTGGGGGTAGATTCTGCCTAAACGCGCTGTGCTCAACAAAATACGCGCTCATTCAACATTTCTGTGATCGTTGATTGTTGTGAATATTAATTTTTGTTTTTGTCGGACTTGTGTTTTCTAAACTAATTGTGTTTTCTGTTGGTTGCTGAATCCCCATATGTTTTGAATGAGAAAATGGCCGCGTTTGACGGATTCAACAGTTGAGACATCGCTTTGCGCGCTTATTGCCTATGATTGGCACTAACTTTTACATCTATATTAGATCTAGAAGAATAAGCCAATTGTAAACAATAAACGTAAAGTGATGTTTGCGGTTGTTGAGTTCGCAGAATGTAAATTACATCTGACGCATTTTGTTTCATTTTACTACTGTATCTGATTTGAGATTTTAATAGTCAAGATATTTCCAGAAATTTTTGCATTTAAGTAATTTTATGTATAGCAGCCTTTATTATGCACACATCGCGTCCGTCTCTTCAAGGTTGTTCGTCGCGAAAGAAACAAACGCAAGTCGCAGATCTCGTAGAATTAACTAATCGTATTGGTCAGATCAACCAAAATGATTGGTCAGTTTTGCGAGACCGGTTGCTTGCGTCTTGCAACTAATGCGAAACGACCTTTAAGTTAGATGCGCAGTGATTGTATCAACTATCGATAAGATATCGATAGTCGGTTGTCGAACTGCGTTATCGATTCGTTCCAAATGTGTCAAACTTCACTGTGTACATTTGTGTGGCAAAAGCAAAGTGACGAATTGTCGCAAGACATCTTTTTACGAAAGACTTGGTAACAATTGAACTGCGATTCTTTGAGCAACTTGCATAATTCAACGCAATTATGGTAATTTATAAATATTCGTACATTAGATATACAATGAGATTTCAGATTGGCGTATTTTCTAACCTATATGTGTGACGTTTGACAAATTGGAGAGGATAAATAGTGTGCTCACAAAAATCGCTGGACGGTATTGTGAGGCACGTTAAACAAAAAACGTTTGACAAATGCTGCGTTTAGAGAGCGCGCTGTTGTGTCATTCAATCTTTAGTTTACATCTAATGAGAGATAAACATGGAACGATACAACAATAACGCAGATAGCATGCTCCCCGAACGCAGTCAAAATATATGTATCGCCAATTATAAATCGGAAAATGAAGTTTTTAATTATGAAACACATTAGTAAATAAAAACTATTTCTTCTGTGCAAAAAGCTACTAAGATCTAATTGTTGTTTATTTAGTATAATAACAACTGTTTTTTATATATTCTATTTTTTATATATAAATCAATTCTTTTATTACTCAAAAACAATTAGATTCGAAAGAATACTAATGTAATTTTTGTCGTGGCAGTCTGCCATATTTAATTTCCAGAGTCTGCTGACTGTAGGATTGCTGTTGATATGCACCTGTACCTACATCAGAGCATTCTCTCCTAACTTGTTTGACAAGAAGTTGGGAAAAGTTGGGTAAGTCAAAATAGAATATTTATCGATAAAAATGCATATATACAATATATACAAAACCATTTGTATATAAATATACATAATTTGTACATATGTATATTTACCATGATGTTATTCTTATAGTTTCCAGGGTACTTTTTGGAAATGTGCTAGGATTGGTGAAAGAAAAAGCCCCTATGTGGCTTTTTGTTGCGTTTGTATGGCGTTTAGCATATTGTTTTGGTCGTAACATTCCTGTGTGTAGAGTTTTTTAACCAATGTGCATTTGGTAACTAGGTCATACTCTTTTGTATATTTTAATGTACTTGTAATATATATACATATATTTATGAGCGCAAGAAAGGAGAATGAAGAGAATAAAACAATTTTGATATTTATTTAGCGACAAACAGCTATATTTGTCTCTTCAATGATACATAAAAATACACTTGTTTAAGCTAGACTTAAAAGTCAAAACGAACATCATTGCTAAATGTATGATAGTTCTTCTTTTCTTTCTTTTATTTGTCAACACGTTTTTTTTCCCCCAAAGCTATATATATTATCCAATTTGAGCACATTTCCTCATTGTATTCCCGTAATATATCTCTTTCCTTCCTATAAACAACAACATTCTCTTTAATATTATTGTAGAGTTATATTGAGCATCTGTGTGATATACAGAGTTCATTATGTAGGTAAATTTAACATATTTTTTGCTCCGTGTGTGCGAGTGGGATATGCTATCTTCTCCGTGATAATGAACCGCTCAATGTCAACTAAGAGACTTGTACTCCACACTGATTTTTATTATAAGTTTTTTTTTTTTTTTTTTTTAAACGATCATCAGATCACTTTTTCTCTTTCAACTTTAACGCTCTTTGACATTTTTGCGTCACTTTACACAGTTGTCTTAATTACAGAACAAGATATGGTTCGTAGTTTTGCGAGGAATATATCAATCAAATGACACACTGCTATGTCAAGAAAATAATCAAACCGCGTATATAAGGTTGTTTAATATTTGTTTAACAACTTCTGATTATTGTGTCGCGTATATGTAAATAACGTATGCATACGTATATTGTATACTCCAGAGTATTTATATTATTTATATTATTTATATGTATATATATATATCCTTATTGAAAAATGTACACATCCGCGATTCTCAAAATGAGAAGCTGAGCATATCTTATACAAAAAACTGGCATGGGAAAGCCGACTTATATAGAAGAGCGCGTCTTATTCAAGAAAGCAATACACACATCGGTCTCATTCCTCGCAATTTTAACCACTTCATATATATATTATAGTCCTATAACATGGTCTTTGCTTCATTATCGACATATATAAAGGTACAGTATCTTGTCTACGAGTAATTTAAAAAAATACTCAAAGTAACCAAAGTGATGTCTATATGTATAATTTCCTAGAGTAGATTTTTTTTTTTTTTTTTTGATACGCTATTATATGCGCTACGGATATGATTTTTTTTATTTCGGATATGAAACGCGACAACGCTCGCTAGAGAGATGTCATCAAATACATCAAATTCACTCTCTTACATCACAATAAACAAAGATATCTCGTACTTATCTCTTACATACAAATTAGTATGCTAATTATTTGTCTTGCGTTTGGGTATGATCGACGCGTAATTGTCCGAAGAACGTCGGTGATGATTAATCGATAAAGAGACAATATTCAATAGCAACGTAAGGGATGTTCACTTGAACCGTCACTGTTGCAAGTTATATCTATTGGCAATTCGATCAATTCCGTGAAATTATTCTCTTCTCGCTGGCGACAGCGACAGTTCATTTGAAATAGACACCCTGCATATGTAAGGCTTTTCACGCTAACGTTATGTAATCGCCTAAATTATCACCTATTAATATTACAAAAATCCAAGAGAAACGATCATTTTTGATTAACAGAATCTTTTTCTCGTGTATTTAATTCTCGGACAGCGGTCAATTTATTTGGCAATTTAAAATATTGCTTCTTTTTCTCTTTTTCGTTCATCATTCTTTAGATTTTATTGCGATTTTTAATTTTTAACAAGAACAATAAAACATTTCACGGCAGTTTTGCAGATGCAATAAATTCGAAATCAATAAAAAAAGAAGAAATATTTAAAAATTGACGAGGCTTTTATTGGATTAATATAGCATTCTCCACCGCCCGAGTGAGTTTTAAGAGTAAAATTATAACGTTATATATTATTTAATCATATCAAAGAGCAGATTTTTTGCTCACGAATTTTTTTCACGTTAGCAACGAATAAAAGGGTCATAAAAAATACATTTGTAAGCGTCTTTTGGTAAAAATCCGCGGCGGTTATCTCGGGCGACGCTCATATTAGCGGATCAAATTCTTTTCTTCTGCCGTAGTTTCTGTTCTTTCGCGCGCGTGAAAGCGTCCAAATGTTCCCACGATTTTTTTTCTTCCTCGCCGCTCGAGACCATCGATCTGGGCTAATTAAACCGAACCATCGCTTTCTCTCAGCCAGCTCACCCTCGTAGTCGTTGTCTTAGAATCATTTCCTTCTGCGTTGCTAGGAGATCCGGCTTCTTCCGTGAGCATCCTCGCGCTCTTGCTCGTCCTGTCGGATCGATGAATACAATTCTGTTGCCGACTCGTTATATTAGCTTTTCTCACGAATTAGTGACTCTTGTTGTCTTGTTCCTTATCGCACCATTGTCGAGAATAGTATCAGGCAGAGCGGTAGAATGACCCGCTTGCCAGCGACCGCGACCGCGGTCGCGTCGCTGCGATCCTTGAGATCCTGGTGGTTCTGGTCGTTGCGGTGGTTCTGCTTGACTACGTTGCCCTTCATTAGAGATACGCGCGGATCCGCGGTAGTCGTCGTGGTCACGTGTTTATAGATCCATCGGGCGGTGCTCTTTTGCATGGCCGGCGTGCTCACCTGCTGATGTGGAATCCGATTGGCCGTGCCCTGCACAGCCTTTGACCTGTTCCGGTTCAGTCGCTTCGAGTTGGTCGAGGTGGTGCGGGTAGGCTCGGTTGGTGCCTGAATCTCTGAAAGTTTTTTACACGACACACAAGGTGAACCAGACGCTCCGCTTTTTCAGAGTCTTCTTTTTTTAAACGGCTTACTCGTGTGCCTTTATTTTTATTTTTATTTTTATTTTTTTTTTTTTTTGATGACCTTTTTGGTTCTTTATGCACACATAAGCTCCCGCCGTGTTGCGATAAATTTAGGTAAAATTTAGATAAAATGTCGGTTTTTTCTACAAGGCCTGAAGCGGACGATATTTTAATTTTTAGTAACTTAGAAAAAGATATGTAGTAAAGAATGCTCAATCCCTCTCCGATTTTTATTAAAATTTTGCTTTACTTGTATATCGTCGCGTCGAATAGAAATAACCGTTTTTCGCGTGATATCGAAATAATTGTGATGCGAAAATAAATTTCGCGCAAACCGGATCCTCACGTTAGCTGTCAGAAAGTGACAGAGAATGACGTATTCATTCGGCCTTATATATATATACGTATATGTACATGGGACTACCTACCGTAAACTCGGAGGGTCGCTTCGGCTTTTCCCATACTTGAGGAAGCCGAGCACGTGTATTCGCCCAAATCCGTTTTCTCCAAGCGTCTTATCTTCAACACGATCGTCGTCTTCCATTCCTCGTCGGGGTTTCCCCGCTCGTCGATTTCGTACCTGCCTCTGCATTGACATATCACTTACGTTTAGCGTGTCGAGATAGGGATGCGAATAGATTTCGTTATTCGACGTCTCTCGTTAGAATAAACCGCGCGAGCCGGCATCCCCGGGATCGATGTAGCAAATCGCGATGACCGAGGTCGGGAGAACAGTTATTCAACAAAAAGCCGAACACCCCGGCGACGAAACGTTTTGCCTCCCATATCGAAGAGATTGTCGAACAACGGATTCTCTCACGAGCCCGAGGAACCAGTGACCCAAACTGTCAATATTGCCTCAACACATACCCGCTCATGATAACTTGCTCCTTCCGCATCCACAAGTTAATCGTCTTGGGATAAGCTTCGATCAAGCAGATTAGCGACACGTTTGTATCCAGAGGAGAGCTGAGCAGCTGGTTGGGTGCCTTTGCGCTCGGGGGAACTAAAATTACGCGCGAGAGAAATATGAGAGAAAATAGCAGGTACATGTTTGATATACAGTTCGTTACTGTGAATTCAAACAAATATAGATTTTTATGATAATCAGAGAATTTGCAGAGAATGTTTCCGCTTCTGTAAATAGAAATCGTATTTTCATAAGCGATCCCGTCTCGCGTAATGGATGATAATATTTCATTAAAATACGTGTCATATTTCCTGCTTGATTTAAAAATAGAGGTTAAATTGAACAAAATCCGTCCGTTTGTGATATCAGGCGATATATCAATTGATTTCATCAGTCTCGCTGACTTGGAAATGTCGCCGAGCAAAGTGCGTCATACAAATTGTTTTTGAGTACTTACAATTTACTTTTAGATTAACCCTTTTGCTGACTGCCGGAGGCACTTCGTTTTTCGCTATGCAAAGATAAGCCCCCATTTGCCTCCTGTCTACCCTGGTTAATTCTAGCTTCTCGCCGGTCTGGTTGTCCACTAGAAAATCGTATACGTTATATGAATATCTTGTTGAAAGCTGTTCCCTCGTTGACCGTATAAGCCGACGTGTTTAACGCGGTCCGAGTAATTATTCGCGAAATACGCCTTCCGGGGGAACGAAACGATATAAGCTGAGTATGAATTTGTAAAGTAAAATTTGTGTCGTCGGGATTTATCATCACACCGCTGATAAAACTGACATTTCATATTTCTGCATGAGCATCAAAGAATACATAAAATTTCGCTCGCGCTTTAATGTGATTTCATTATTTATCTGTAATTTGTTTTTATACAATTACTTAAAATTACAGATATATTATTTTTTTAGATTTTTTTTTAAGTCGCTCTTGCGTTGTATCAATATTTTTTCAGTAAATATTAATTAATTACGATTAATGGCGATGCGTAATGAATAAGTGCGCCATGAAGAATTGTAGCTCATAAAACGCGGCGCCAAATTAATTCAGTTAATTACAGAAATTTTTTCACCTTTGTACACTATCGAATTTAATTTTACTCCGCACATCGCAACTGTTTATCGCGAAAACGAGGACGAGAGATAACGAAATTTTGAAAATCCATATTTCTACATAAATGTATGTGTTTACAATTTCCATTATTCAATGAGAAATTGCATTTAGCGCGCACGTGTAATAGACGCTTTTCAAATATAACTGAAAGATAATGAATCATATTATTATCAAACGGACGGCCGACATAAATCACGCGTGGAACATGTCGTTTCGTGTTCGCGATAAAATGTGTCAGATTTTAATAAGATCGATCGAAAATGCAAGATGCGTGATTTGTGCTGACAGCTGATGAAATTCGTGTACGTCCAGCGTTGCGCAGTCACTTGTATTAAATTGATAATTATGCAGTGTTCGATTGCGTTGTCGTGTATGTACGGAAATATCTTTTTTTTTTTTTTTTTTTTTTGTAATGAC